GTATAGAATTCAGGGTCTACAGACTCGCCACTCAGCACTCGGCTGGCGTAAGCTTTTCAGCGGCCGGCGGCGGACCACCAGGCGGCTTATGAGAGAATGGTTGAAATTGTGTGAGAAACCCCTTATTATATTTATAACAGCGTTTTCAGCAGGCCATATACGTTGAATGTAGTCAGGCTGGCAGGCAGTAGACCTACAGGTCGGCTGGTCCGCAGACCGGCAAGCCTACAGGCCGAATCTCGACCTGCTACTAGTCGAGATGGGCTAGCGAAAGCTAACGGACAGATTGGCGGCTGCCGGTTGACGACGAACTTGAAAGGCTAGGCGGAGACTGCCGCTGCTGGACTGGGCAGCCAATAGAATTTTTCGCTAGTCAAGCCACGAAGGGATCCTTGGACGGCTCGACAAGCACACATGTACGCATGCAAAAACCTGATTTAACAGCGAGCCCAGTGTAGTCCGGACCCAACCGTAGGCTAGCGATCCTGAAAAAAAGTTAAGTCACGTGCTGCGCTTATGGTAGTTTTCCTAACTGAGACGGCCACGAATAACGTTTTAAATGCCAGTAATCGTATTACAATGAGATTCAGTTGATTCCAATACGGGAAATTATTTGTGCGTCCTGTAATAACGTATGGCGAACGGACGGGTACATAATCTGTTGTAGACGTTTGCACACAATCGCTAGAATTTCTGTAGCCATGAAAATTGAACTGGTGCACATATCAATAGAGATACAGTGAAATGAAGCCATCTGTAGATGTTATTTTGTTGGGTAGCTGTGGGAACAACGAACTAGTTCCATTTCCTTCACTCAAAACGTATACGCACATATCGCACAATGCAACTTTAACTAGCAGCGATCTCTGGTTATTTCGGCTAACGACTTTCAAGCAAATTAATGCTGCGACTGTTATAAATACACATTTAATCTATATTTTGTAATTCAGGGATGACAAAACTGTAATTAAAGTTACTATATATATATATTGAATTATTTTATTTCTACTCAGGCAAATGTAGCTATCTGCTCTTCGCTTCGATTCGTTGCTTCATATATTCTATTTGCAGGTATTTTTATATTCTATATTTCGCTAGTTTGTGTTAGGTGATTACTTTACAACTCACAAGTACAAGTCAATGTAGTTTACAACTTTACTTCAAGTCTATAGTTACGCAAATAGATTAGATTGTGACGTAAATGACTAAAACAAAAAGAAACAAAAGTTATTTGTTTTCAGAAAATATTTCCTCATGCGTTTTTCAAACAAAAAAACCTTCGTTTGAAAAACGCATGAGTAAATACTCAAGTTTGTGTGACAAGGAGATATTCTTAACAATCGAAGGGATAAGTTGGTGGCATGAACGATCAATCATGAACAATATTCAGCGCGTCGAAGGAAAGTTGGGCGAAAGCATCTTTCTCCAGTAAATTTTACAGGCTAACAAGAAAATTGTTGATAACCTTTTTCAGTTGGTAACAATAACGATAACATTAATAATGGGGCGGTCGTCCAACGAGACGTGTCCAACAACAAATTCGATCGAGGCAAATAATTACGTCCACTGTTCCGTCAATTTACCCTTAAAAATCTACTCTCAGGCCTTACAATACGTACATTTAAATGATCTCTTAAAATTGCACCTTCAACAAATATTATGTAATTGGGCATGCATGCCTTACAGTAAATACGAGTTAGAACCAATAAGCCGGTCGTCTAATCAGGTGAAGGGGCTGCCTTCTTAGGGTTCAGGCGTGACTGGCTTTGTCAATCACTTTATCTGGCCTGTTTTCAATAGCCGAATCGACTAGACTTGTGTCATTGCCAAATAGTCTGTCTGAATAACAACAGCGCTGTGTGCCAGTATGTCAGCATAGACAGAGACCATACAGCAAAACGCTGCATGGTCTCTGTATATACTAAGTACCTTCATGTGTTGCTACTAGTGAAAAAAACAAGGTTCCGGGGTGTGTTCAGTATCGTGCTGGAAATCATTCGTTGAGGCCAGTTAGAGGATGGGACACAAAATGAATATATGGAAAATGTATCTATGGGCTGAGTTTTGCGCTGAAATCTTTCAATGGTTCTCCTCTACCGTAAAGTTATCCGCAGCGCCAGCAGCGTAGCGGGTAAACAATGCAATGTTCAGATGGTTTAATTCCAACAGACACAGCTATTTTAATTAAACCAAGCATCTTATTGTGTTTTGTCAACGGGTGATGTCAATTTTTGGAAAAATCCACGTATCAGCTACGGCGATAACTCTTCTATGTCGTTTAAAAATGTGAACTTTTTCCACAGAAAATCTTCGGGATAGCAGATTATAGATGAGACCAAGCAAATATGTGATACGAATCAACAAACACACTTCTAAAGGTGCAAAGTGAATTTCATAGCACTGCTCGTTTTCGGCAGTAATATCAAAGCTAAGTTAGTCCAAATTTCTACATATATTTTTTCCTTACATTTCCTAAGACACTAACAATTAATGTCTGAAGATACTTGAGCTGACACTTAAGTTCGCAACGACGATTCACATGCTATAATTAAACGAAAGTTAAACGAGGCTCAGACTTCTGAGCATACGCAACATCCTCTTACCTATAAAACCGTCTACATTATAGTTTAGCATTAGGCAAGGTCATCACCTAATCAGTAATCTCAAAGGCTTGAGCGCAAAGCGAATTCCAGCTGCACGATAGCTAATCTCTTATCCTTCACTGTTTATCCTTTCCTTTGGCCTTGAAAGTTTTCTAGTCAATCACTTGGAACAGCGATGTCTTAGGAAGTAGTTGATTGTTATCTGGCTTTGGTTTTAAGAGGCTGAGTAAGTTTCGAAATCTTTAAAGCACTCAGGTAGCCATTTTTATAAAAAAAAAAAAAGAAAAAGCATTTAGTTCCAGTGCGATTGTGTTCTGCGGTACACACGGCACAGTAAAATGCTATGTTTTTTAGACTAAAGCAAATAACATATCTAAAAGTTATTTACTTTATTCTAAAAAACATAACTTTTTGTGAAGTATTTAGAGCCAACTTTTAAGTTTGACTCTACGATGCGGCACTCTTTACTTTTCAGTTCAAACCTAAGAATACAACTACGAAAAACGTTTTATACAGGATGTATTAGTAATGCTGATTTTGCTTAGAAAAAGATAATAGTACATTGACATCAGGTAGAAGTATAAACTACTACTAAGCGACTTAATCCACATATGTTTAATAAAATTGCATGACTTCTTGTCTCCGGCTAGAACTGTGCCCAAAGTCTATAATACTCATCATCATATTGACTCCTCATTATTAATACGATCTTGGACTGTTACGTACATTATAATCTATTCTTTCTAAGCGCCGTTCTATTCTTCATAGGAAGTTTAATACGATCCGAGAAACCCGTGTCTCCACGTACGGCACTTGCCTGTTTTTGAGTCGTCGGCTGCTGGCGTTTTGTGCGTTCATTTTTGAGGCTCATACCCCCTCTTATGAAACGTTCCGTAAAGGCGACAAATTCAGTCAACCCAAATTGCGTGACGCATCTCGTCACGAGATCAAATCTATACCGTGGTAGTAGTCAGTACAGTAGAAATCTTAAGGACAACACGGATCAATAGGCTGAACGTCAAACTTTAAAAGAGGTTCACATATGGAAGATTTGTCGGTTTACAGTTAACTATAAACCATACTGCAGCAGCAAACAGTTTCGCAGATAAATTACGTCTGATGGACAGTGGCGCTCGTGGCACAAGAAAAAATGGCATATGTACGTAATAATGAGCTATGTGACATTGTTCAATTGGACCATTTATCGAACGCTGGCACGAGCTTCGATTTTGTTTGAGAATTACGACTATAAAGAACCGACCGTGAGAAAGGCTGCCTTGTAAAAAGGCCCTCAATGCCAAGATCGGCATCGTAGAATCGCTGTCGGATGAATTCAGTTAGCTACGGTCCGTTGTATTTAAGAGTCCATAACTCCGATGATTAATATCGTTAAAGCATTTAGGTCCTTACTTATTTGTCGTCCACACAGGAACGGTGTAATTACTTTTAGAGCGGCCTTAGAAGTAATTTCTCGATCGTAATATGGAAGGTTCTCGAAGTCGAAGGGACCCAAATAAGGTATCAACTCTGAACACGTGACTGCACAGGTCACAGGAAAACAAGCCGTTCATTTTTATGAATTAGAGATTCAAAAAAAGCACAAAGAATCTTGCGAAATTGTAAGATTAAGTCGGTTTATCGAAGTACATTCTCAAGACGAGAGAACATTACGAAAGCTCTGTATTCTCACATATTCGTCAACACAAAGTGTGAAATAACAAAAAATCTTTTTTGTTATTTGCAATTTTTAGGCGTCCAACGTTTCATCCCCACGGTCCATCGAGTGGCAGGTTCGCGCTAACTTTTTATTTTCCCTAACCCAAAGTAAAAAGTACACAGCATACGTAACAAATATTGCTATATATCGAACAAAGCGATAAGCGCCATAAGTCTTAGATGAATGCTGTTTTTAAGCCTTTGCGGTCTAAGTTCAATCTGTCGAACTAAATTTAAATTAACCCGAGGATGTATTTGTTGGATCGTGCAATGCACTTAACTTTGTTTTGACTATTATAGTTTAGCTTTCTTTTAACTGCTCTCTTCATATAACTTCTTTTCCGTACCATTTGACACCTGATGTACCAACGAAATGAATATTCAAAGCCATACCTATTGCCCTATATAAATTGATATTTCAATTTATACTGTGCATTATGGCATTAATGCTCGTTTCTGGTTGTGATGCTTGACAAACGTCGTTAAGCAGGTTTGTAAATCCAGCTTAAGTTAGTATTTCAGCTTAATTTGAGTCGGTTAATGCAAATGTGTGCGACCAGGATATATATATGTTTCAGTTGACTGTCATGAAACACCTTTGTGAGGGCGCGTCGTCGAGGAGAAAAATGAACCTTGCAGTAGAAAATCATAATTATGATCATCTAATTGTCGTACCTCTAAATAACAAACTACTACGGAGAAATGCGGAAAAACACTTGCTGTTAAAGTGGTTAGCAAAAAAACATCGAAACAATATCCTGCCTAATTAGATCTATTGTGTGAGGTGACATTGAGTGAGTCATAAAGCAAGAATATATTCTTGCTTTTTCTGGCATATAGACTCTTATCGGCAATATCTATGCATCGGGTATTGAAATCCGTTATTTTTATCATTTACGTACATTTAAAAAACGTTTATTTTGCACAAAATGTATACTTTGAAGTGAATATACGGAAAAAAATGTTCATCGCATTCCTGTGTGTCTATCTGACACGGGAACTAACGTCGTTTTTGACTTTTTTGTGTGATCCTTACATGTCTACCAGGGATCAGATTCTAATTATATTCTAAAAACTAGCAGGATGTTGAAAAATTTGCATAAGAATTACCACTTTCATAATCGAAAGTTCTTGACATGTAAAATGAATTTTTGAGTATGTTATTATGACTCAGTATTTCAAGTTTTACGTCTGGTATTGCCTTTAAGTATTACTTCAGACGTATGTTGTTAACTTACTACTAACTCACTACTTCTGAACTACTAAATCCGAAAGATGTCCTGGCAAAGGCCAACTCTGCCTCTGCATGTCTGCTAGACTTAATCATCTGATAGAATGCCTAAAGTCGATACCGGACGTAAAACTTGACACGTAGAGAGACCTGGTTGAACTGCCTGTAGAACGACGCAGTGGTAGAATAATTGTCTACAAACCTTTTTTCAAAAGTGCTTCAGGGCAAACGCATTTGCAGCCCAGGCCTTAAGGTTAAGGCATTTATCTGGTATTGTGAGACCCTCCTCCACTAAGTCTTGGATCTCGTGCTATTGGGCCTTTATTCGGAACTTAGTTTTTGAACCAAAACTTGCAGAACAGTAGTGGTAGTGAGTTACTATTGCTCCACTAGTCGCGTTCCAGTCCATCCTTTTGTCGGGTTCTCCTCCTCACCGGACGTGATAAGGCCCGAGCGAGGTCTTATACGTTCTTCTCCGGCCAAGCGTAAATGTATAGCAGCATTTTGTTCTCGTAGTATTTCAGTTGCTAGCTGTTTCTGTGGCCTGATATGGCTGAATCGCCCTTGTCCGCTAACATATCTCTTGCAATTGCCGCCTCAATTATCCAAAGGCTTGTCGTGTTATATATGCATTTCACAAATTGTTTTGGGCCTAGTTGGTGGATTTTTAGTTCTCTGATCACCGTCCTTTGTCCACCGTTCCACTATCTTGTGTATATATGCTTGTCAGGATTCGCTTGGAGGTTTCCAAGGCTTATTATTATTTGAGTAATGTGAAAATCAATCTCGCGTACCGACCTATCAAAATATTTTTTCATCAGATCTCGTACCTTTGGCCCGGAGTTCCCCCTTCGTAATACTGTCCACAAAATGTAAGGACAAGTGGTTATCTAGATTCGAAACTGGGCATAAATACACTTTGTTTCGTGCTGGGAGCCAGCCGTCTGAAGCAATGCTTTGCGGCAGCACTAACGCAGAGCTCGGAACGTTAATTTAGGCTTGACCGAAAGCCAATTCAAATTTCCACTCAATACCTTTATCAAAACGACTAAAAACTGAAAAGTCAGGATGGTAAAAATAGTTTAATTCAGTATGGTTAAAGAATCTGTCAATTAAAATTGCTGAATTGTTTGGACGTAAGTAACGCTAAAGAAAATTAGTTTTTATACACAACGAAGTTAGATTTAAATTTACATCACTATATTAAATGTAATCTATACGTGTGTTTCAACACACATTGCACAAATTATAAACTGAATTTTTTGTGGGAACTGGATTCTTTTTTTAAAATCGACATAAGCTTCCATCCATCTTATTACCATGGTCACACTTTAAGGTTGAAAGCCATAGTATCGTTTGTTATATTACGATACAAACGATTAATGATGAACACTTTCAGTAAAACGTCCATAAAAACAAACAGACAACAAAATTAGAAACGATGCTTTTGTCGCTAGTTAAATGTATGTGCTGCAATTATTCTTAACTAAGTATCATTAACCCATCCACGTGCCAAAACATATAATGCTTAAACAGCCTATTTTAAGTATGTATTGGTTCTATGTAGTGTAAGCTCGCATGTGCCTTGAAAACGACAATAACAACAGCCATTAATTAAAAAAAAAATGTAAGTTTGAACAATTTATCTCAACCTCATTAATGGAAGTATGTATAGATAGATGTATTAGATGTATTTATACACAAGGTGTTATACAACAAGCCAAGCATGTCTGCTTAGCTTCCCAGGCATTCCATTTTCGGCGATGCCGCCTGTTATAATCATTGTCATCATACATCCCCTATAGCTTCAAACTGCCCACACGTACTCGCTTCAGCTCGCGCTGTTTTTGAGCTTTCTTTTTCGCGTCGACCTGATTTATAAGCTGATCCTCTAGCCGCTGGAAGAATTTCGTCGAAGATTTCAACCCTGAATCACGTTCTTTTGGCTGAAACATACAAATAATAAGCGGCATAACTGATTTAGAAAAAGTGCAGTTGAAAATGAATATCGAGCACGTAACGCCCCATTTATGAGACTCAAATACAAAGACTGCCCAACCGCCAGTGTTTGAAAACTTTAGGCAAGATAAAGTGAATGAGACTTGTGTTTTACCGGCAAGCTAGTGCTGAACTTTTTGACGTAAACAAGATATGTATAGTAAATAATCATTTCGTGTTAAATTCTCATAGAATAGAGCCATAGATAATTTGTAATAGGTTCCGAGAGCTGAATATAGGCACAAAATACAGATAATATTTATAATAAGCTTACCCTTTTGGATATAAAAAAAACTTTTGAATTGTATTAGGATAGGATAAAGATTGAAGTTAATGCGTTTTTTACCCGGGTTTGGCAGAAACATGAAGGTGAATTTACGTACCGTCTTTAGAACCTTTGTGTTGGTACTGTTTCGCAGGTTCTCTCTGGCCGTTTTGCGTTCAAGACGTTCCCTAAACTTCAGATCTCGCTCAGCACGCTTTTTCTGTTTCTCCTCTTCAAAGAAACGTTTTCTCCTCTGATGTATTTTCTTCAGACGCCTCTCACGGTTCTTGTCTGTCTTGGATCGTTCGTCCTTTGCCAATACCTCACGCTTTGGTTTTTCCTGTAAAGACATAGTTTATAATAATATTAATTATTTTTGATCTACTTTGTATGCTAAAGTTAACCTTACTTACATTAAGACACATATATAGCTATATATTTTTACCTAAAGCCTAAATTTACATACTCTGATTTCTTCTGGTGCAAGCATCGTAGCATCGCTAACAGTAGCTGGAGCAACTTCCTCTACAGCGATGGTTGGCAGGTTATTGATAAGTTTCAGTTCAGCCTGCGCAGGTCTAGGCATGAAGTGATAATTGCTCAAGGCGTCCAGCTGTTTGAACAGTGCTCCCATCAGCTTTTTGATCTCGTCATATTCGGGATTGGTGGCTTCCTTTTCGCCTTCCTTCATCTTGAGGAACTCTTGCTCGTAGACCTCCGCCAGACCAACTTTCGACTTTTCCTGATCGAGTGTTAGACGGCGTCGGAACTCGAATACCTCTTCTGTTGGTTTCACCTTCCTAACAACGTCATCCCATGCCTGTCACAATGAAATCGGATAATTAATTACAGTATCAACGTATCAAAATTCTTTTCAGGTAGTTTCCTTAAGTGTCATACTAAGGTAGATAATTCTTTAACCAATCCTTGCTTCGCTGTGTCTAGAAGTTGCCAGCTTTGGAATCTCAAATACTACTACGGAATCCGTGAGTAACGCTTTAGGCCTTGTAGCCACGCAACTTCCATGTTTCTCTTCAGCGCTTCAGATGTCAGCTTATGGTAATATCTACAGACATCTCACTCTTCCAACATTTGCCTTCTACGATCTGAATTCTCAGGTCATAGCCATACTCTTCATTCTGTCGGTAGATATCTTCTTGGTACAATGATATCCATAAGACTGTTTCGCGCGATGTCTGGACTGGAGATCGCGTGTTCCAGTCGATTTGTACAATCTCTTGACTTATTTCTATGTTAAATAGGGTAGAATGGTAAACTATTCGCACTGGCAAAGATTACACGCATGGTACGTAGCGTGATAAATAATTTGAAGTTAGGTTAACTTAAAAAAACAGGTTGTTCCATGTCGCGCTCCAACGTACTTCTTAACAGGATCCTTTTAGCCTAGAGAACTGCCGTTTGGACTAAGTCTGTAGTAAAATAAAAGACTAATATAGTTCTCAACTAAATTATTGTCGAGATACGTAGAGACCACACGAAATCAACGAAATGCAACCTATAAACTGAATATATCCGTAAAGAGGTGGCCATTCAGAGGAAGGCCATATCAGGTGAGGCGGTACCTAAAAAATAAAGGCGTCGAAACAACGGCGACTCTAAAATTACTAAAAAATCGCACGAAATTCATATGCAATACGAAAGACCGTATTATGAAGCCAATCGTTTTGAAAGTTTAACTCATAAGGTTTGTATTTCTATAATGAAGTCTGTTTTTATTCATTGCCGACAGCGAAAGAGCCGACGCAAAATTGGCTAAACTCAATACATTTAAAAATATTAAAAAGAAGCAAATTAAGTTGTACAATTTGGGGACTTCATATTGTCTTAGACTTGTTGTGCAACTTCATTTGCTCTAATGATCAAAAACGTGTGAACATGTTCACTATACTCAGGTGGATTGCAGGTGCTCTACTCGCACGCAAAGAAACCAGGTAATTATACAGACATCGCTACATCACTTTCTCACATAAAACTACTATCATATTGCTTCTTGCGAGATCATAGTAACTCCTCCGCGAGAACAGCTTTAATTTGGACACTTTCCACTTGTGTAATCCACATCACTTGTTTACGAGAGAGCCTCACTTTCGCTGTAGAAACGAATTCACTCTAGGGAGCACTTTGCTCATCACGCCTATATACTCGTTACGAAGCACATATAAGCGTCTGCTGTACTGAATGAATCTCTCGGAACGAGAGTAACAGCGGTTCGAAAATCAGTGAGCATTAAAACTTCGATTCCCATAAGCCCCCCCCCAAGAACGCCATCTTACGGATGCTTACGTAATGGGTGCCAGTTTGAAATCCTGGTGTGGGGTAGAGGCTACTACTAGGCAAATATTTAGGCAAGCTAATGCTAAGGCAATACCAAGAGTATGAAGGTAATGCTCGTATATTCCCCCATTAGAAATGTGCGCACTCCCTGACGTGTCGCCTTCTATCTGGTTTACACTGGCTAAAGTCCAAAGCTAGTTCTGACGCCAACTGGCTAATCTGCAAAGGTTGAGTAAAGGAAGGATCCTATGGTCGTACGCAGATTCGCTTGTTTATACATTCTAGTGCGTAGAAGGTTCACCACGTTGATAAGAATATAGAACGCATCTGCTTTGAACACTCTACATCATTTTTTTCTCGACCGAGCTCTTTCCATTATAGCGAACACGAAACATTTTGTCGAGAATATCATCGGCCACCAAATATCATCAAGCCTTTTAGCGAATTCTTACGATATTATACATTGCGAACTGTAGTGGCCAGTTCGATTAGACACAATGTATTCTTTCAAGCTCGCCTCTACTTTCACATGGATGCAAAATTATTATATTAGCAGAACTTTGCTGTACTTGAAATATTTCTGGAAATGAGTATGTATATTAGTCTGAGCTGCAACTGTATACGTTTGAACGTCTACGGGTCGAAGACGAGCGTGCATATAGAGATTCTTTAGGCGGGTCGTGTCGCCACAGCGTATCGCCTTATAATACAAGATTCTTAAAGAAACTTTTAATACCAGTGAGTCGGTGAAGAAGTGGCTCATGCAAAACAGATCCAGATGCTTAGAGACACAGAAGTCGAGGAGGAAAGAAAAGGGATGGCCGATGTCTAATGCAAATGGGGCTCCACTTAGAGTCGTTGAGTATCGGCTTCGAGAACAGATACTAACTGACCGCGCTATGTAATGAATATTAGCTTGAATTCCGCAAACAAGATCATCACAGACTGCAACTGTAGAAGCAGACACAAAAGCCTTTTCTGTCTCAAACATACGGTAAATTGACACAGCTCCCCAGTACTGCAGAGCTAGTATCATCTACACGTACTGGAATATTGTTAAGCTTTTGCCTTTACTAACCATTTGCTGGTAACGTTGCTTCGGACGACTGCACTTGAATAGAACATATACAATCGGGTGGCTCACCCCACATATACTATTGCGAAGCCTGTCAGTCATTATCTGAGTCACACCTTTTTACGTACTAAAGCAACCTATTTCGGACGCAATTTCACAATCACATGAAAAACTGTTGTGTTTTAGTAGATCATTATGATTGGAGTATGCTACTGTGCCGTATACCTAACTAAAGCTCCGACTGAAGGAGTAGTCGCTGCCTTAAAGTACACAACTGTGTGCGAAAAAATAAGGTATTAGAGCATTGCGGATGCAAATAAAATTTATTTCAATCATATTCCGAAATTAACGTAATACAATTATTAACAACGCACAAACATACGCCCCAATAACGTTTCGTAGTATTTTCTTTTTCAAAAAACCTAGGCTACAATTAATATGCATAGAACTAACATGATCGGCGAATAACTTGCTGTCTTAAATTGGCATAAAGCGACATTAGGATGTTGCCATTGTTATTTCTGCTTGGACTTAATATTTACCAGAAGAAAAATTTTAGGCGGCTAGTTTCACTAGGTATGTCATGTTGAAGTATAAAATAAATAAATGCAACAGGTGAATAAAAGTGAACCAATAGAAAACAAAATGAAGCAGACGCTACACATGTCACAGAAGAACTCTATTATGAGAAATAAAAGAGTACCCTTTATATGTTGGTTTAATCGACAGTACCAAAAAACATATGCGCCTGTTTAATATTTTTTAGCGGCAGCTTAAAAACATTTTTGAGAATTCAGGAACAATGGCAGCCCTTGCCAAAATCTATACTATTTTGCTTAATTCCGTCTTCCAGAGCCACTATTTAGATGAACTTCCGGTAATGCTGTAGAAAAAAGAACTATCTAAATAGCTAATAGACGTTGTAACTATAGTTGGCAGAATTTTATAAAACTTTTGTTACGCCCCCAGAATCACGTATACGAACATTTTGTTTAAAACGGTGAGAACTAAATATCATGAAGCCTTACGCCTTATCTGTATACGATTGTACGGAAGGGACTTCAATTAATTTTGAACTATCGGTAGTGGACGAGCACGTTACACTAAAGAAAGGTAAAACTCTTGTCTAGCCAAGTCTAGCGCAGCGGGGCATCCGATAGGTGTAGCCTTGGCAGATAATAGTTTCTCATATTAGAAGCGTGTGAGAAAAGCCAAATGTGCTTATTTTAGATATTTACCAGTTCTCAACCTTCTATTGCCTTCTTACCTTGTCTTTAATGCGTTGCAAAATCCAGTCCTCTAACTTCTGCGTCAATGTCCTCGTAATCTGTGGGGCCTGCCGCGTTTGGTGATCGAAGTCGAGGTGTTCTTCCATCAATGAGTTCTCCGGTCGATTTTTGGCCGACACTTCACCACGCATTTGCCACCCTTTTTCGGCCAAGCGGACTTCCTCTAACTTAGTGATCCTCTCACGCAACTGGAAAGGTTTACACCAGAAACATTGAATACGTGTATTTAAAACTCCATGATGTTTATAATTTTCCTATATTGTTCTATATTGCACTATCTCTTAAAATTTCTAAAAGCGTGTAAAGCTCGATAACTTTTGGTGTATATTTTAGTGTGGCTGTTATTCTTCCTCTTATTCATTCCCGACAACATATTTCAAATATTTAAAATAGTGAAATGAAAAACCTATACAAGCTAAAAAATTACGATTAGTTTTCCCTTTTTTGCAACGAACCTTCTTCTCGTTCTTCTCGAATGTGCTCATCTTGTTTTCGTCCTCTGTCTTGTTATCATCTGAATCCTTAAAGAGGTCTCGAGTTGTCTTCAAGGCCCCCTCAAGTTCATTGTTTTCAACATCTTCGTCTTCGGCGTCTCGTAAATCATAGTTATTGTCTTTTTCGTCCATTTCTGTTTTACTATAACCATCATAATCGTCACCACTTTTATCATCATCTTCAGTTTCACTAACTTCCTCGTCAATAAATCGGACGGACTTCCGACCCTCAGATGCTTTCAACTTACAGGAAGCCGGATCATCGTTGTCCTTTTCTTTTTCCTGATTTTCCTGAAAAAAACAAACAATATATCTTTTATCTGTAAATGTATGCACCAGTAAAAAAAAACGTCCCGGTAACTTAAATCAACCACTTTGAGCGATAGGTCGGACCAATGTTGAATGTGTGTGCGTATTATATATTATATAATATATAAAAGTATATTATACCCAATAAACCTAATAATTATGACTGATAATGAAAACTAAAATTTGCTTCATGCATGAATTAGATTACCACTTTATTTGACGACCAGATTGGTAGACTTATAAAATGGTTGAAATATTTACCAGTTCCCTAAGATTCACGATGGGGTCAAAGAAATCTTCGTATTTGGCCTCGCACCCCTCATCATCGCTTGTAAAGTTTCCATAATAATCTACCCATTCATCGTCTTCGCTTTCGCTTTTTTCTAACTCAGGTTCGCCTATATATTGGATACCGGAAAAATATAAAACAAACAAAGTTTCGTCAACACAGCTTTCAAATGTCTACGAATTTATATGCCTACAACACCTCAACGCGCGATCCTTGCTAGTTGTACCTATCAGACGTACGCGAATTCTGTGTAGCACATCGAACTGATTCGATGAAACGACATGTTGGGCACATTTTACTAAATTTACATGAAAATATCAATTCAAACTCTGTGAGCTTGCGTATCAAGAACAGAGACGTTAATAACGCAGCATCACGTTATTTCTGTATTACACAGATTAATTGTTAGGCCATGGTCTAAGACAGATTTAACTGTATTTCCGTACCTACTAAATCGAAATTTATGTGCATATATAGACACTAACAATCGGTGTGTTTTGCTTTTAAACATGTAGTTAGTATAGATTTATTTTATGAATTAATTTATCTGATAAACGATCATGATAATTTGCAAGAAACACCAAAACACGTTTAATTACAGAACCGACCTGAGCTGATGAGTCGATTAAGCAAAGAAAGAGTACGTTTTGCATAAGTAGTGAGTAGAACGTATTTACACAACAGTCGTCTTTGAAAAATTGAACACGATTCAACGTACAGCACTTTGTTCTCTTTTTTTTTTTAATATATATTTGCTGAGCCTACTTTTCGCTTTATTTCAGAACTCATGTAATGTATCGATAATATTCTTAGCACCACCTTACTTTGTCTTTTTTTATTCATTTTACGCTGTTCCCGTTGATCTTCACTATTGAGGAACTCCTCGAGCGCTCCCAAGCTAAAGAAATTATCATCGACGGCCGTTTTGTGCAAAGCTTTTCGGCGTGGAGCTGGCGAGAAGACAGAACCTTCCTTAGATTTTTTGTTCCCATGTGCAGCTTGTGCCTCCAAGCCGAGCTCTTCATCTTTATCAAGGTCTTCATCCTCGCTTCCCATTTTCACCTCTTCGTCGTGGAGCTCTAGAAACGATTTATGAAGAGAAATGAACAAATTTTTCTTTTATGGTATCAAAGAGTCCCCTTGATAATGTAAAAAGACTATCTGCTAAGGGAATTTTGTTAGTGAACTGCAGCCAACCACGTCCACGTGTACAGAAGCACAATTGCAAGCAACTGCTTTTTACTTAGCAATAGTGGTCCACCGAGCAGTGACCGTTTATTTTACATTTGAAGTAAACACTTTAGTTTTTTTTCAAACTAAAGCGTTTCCTTTTTTATTTGATTAAACGCTGTAACTTTGATCGGCTACTTGTGCACAACTCCTTTGTTGATATCCGAGAAATTAGGAACTTCCAAGGATTACAGAACGCATCCAGCTTAAGAACTAACCTTCATCGCCATTCGCACTTTCTTTTTCAAGCTCAATTCCAAAGTCAAGATCTGTCTTGGCTCTCAGCCGGGCAACCGCTGCCAATGCGACATTGAAAAGAGGTTCGTTTCGCAGTTCTAACTCTTGCCTAAAACAACAAAGAGACTCGTTATTCTAATCTCCAAAATACCGTTCACTATATTAACAACTGTAGAATAAATCTCAGGTATGTATCCGCATCAAGTAGCAAAAAAAAACGAGGGCATAAGATTGTAGTAGCAACTAGCAAAATCCAGGTATTATACACTATACATTGGGTCGGAGAAGTATACGATGAAAATTTTCATATTTAAAAGCGTCTCGAAACCAACACTTTACAGAAAGAAACAGTAGTAACCTCTGTTTCCTACTTAAATCTTGGAGATACTATTTAACAGCATTATAAATTTCAATAATCAATGCTCAGTTTAATAAAAAAAAAAAGATACATCGTTAAGCGATAACTGTAACAACAACGTAAGCACAGAGTTCAAACCTGAACCTAAGGTTTTTTGAAGCTTTCTCTGTGGCATCAAATTAACTGGCACTTAAAAAACGAATAGCGGTTTGTTTTTGGCTTACCAGATTTGTTCATCGTCGAATTCTTCAACGATCAGCTGATCAAGATCTTCTGCGCTCTGAAAATCCAGACACCGTTCATCTCGTTTCAATCCGTCATAAAGCGACTTCGACAATTGGCGAAATTTGTCTACAGACTTGTCATTTTTTCTGAAAGCCGTCAATAGAGTTCATCAGAGATGACATGCAGTATATGAAATCGCTTTGAATTTACAGAAGGTTATTCATAGGATTTTGCACACCAGATTCACAAGATATATGCATATATATTTTCAAAAGGCGTAGTTTCAAATGGTACATTTGTACCAAGTGGCCAATCTCACGACCCTTTGTTGTGTTATTATGTTAAGTAATCAGATGTGAATATTTGAATAATAAATATGTAAATAAAGGAGTCTACTTATTCTATCTTTTTTTTTGTTACCTTTTGACGCTAGCGGTGTCTGTGTGCGACCAGGGCCTATTATATACAGAGTGCCCCCAAAAATGCATACACAGTTTTAGTTATTATAACCTAAATTTTTATTTACATAAATTAATATTCAAACCGCCAAAAAAATATAAAATATTCAACTTTCTTTTACCGCAAATATTGAAAATTGTGACCATTCTGATCAAAACACAACATATAACGGTCGGCTCTTAATTCAGAAACTTAATACTTTTTATTAGGTGTCGTGCCCTGTCTTAACTCGAATGCGGCTTTTAAATCTGCGAGTGTCGTCGGTTTTCTAGAGTCGGCTTAATTTTAAGGCACTCCTACGAGCACAAACATTCACGTACTAACAAAGTCTTGGATAGCTAGCTTTTTTAATTTACGGCGTTTATATTAAGTGTATTGCCCTGCGACGAAGGACAGCGAACCATGCTACCTTAATTAAAGCATCTTGCTTTTGTACAATCATAGTATAGGTGATTTCACGCCATGCCTAGTGTAGAATAACGTGATTGCCCCATATGGCCAGTGACTATGGTGGACTGAAAGCGCTGTCTTCTCACTATGCCTCTTTTTTAATCCTTGCGGGCGATTTCAACGCCTGCCTTGACCAGCTGAATTCAAGCTGCATTACGGCATTCAAAACACTCTGACGAACCTTCGTTGGTGGGTAATCAGTCCCACCTCGACGCTGACTTTTATCGATATATTTACAACGACCGTAACCAGGAATAAGGTAAAGTTTTAGGGTGAGGATTATTTTCTGTTAGAGGGCATAATCACTCGTGTTCACATACCAAAAGCGATAGAGCAAGTTTTATGTGCACGGACTGTCAAGCGCCAAGTTCCATCGCGTGCCTACATATAGACAAACTCCTAGAAAGCATTTAGGAATTTATTTCTATATTTCTATACCTGATGAGGTGAATGCTGAAACTTGTACGCAGCTTTTAGTGGAATCTTTACTGGCTCCGAAAGTGTAGGCCGTAGTTCGACTACACCCGCAGCCTTGCTCAGAGTACCCAGATGGTTTCAGGCTTACAGCCAAAATAGAGCTGGATCTATATCTTCTAGCCTTCGTTTTGGATACCATCTGTACTGCGTAAACCATGAACACCTGGAGGCATGTTTGTTTGTTGATGCAGGACGCTAACCATACAGGTGACTACCGCGCCATGGCAGATCGGCGGCTTGTACGATGAGCTCCTCGGCTCTCATAAATCGCTTTTCGAAATGTTTGCTTCAAAGGATACGACACTACGCGCGGTACCCCTTTTCTCCCCTGGAAGAGCGAATCTCAATACAATGTGACATCCTCGTATTTTACACCTCGGGTAGTAACGCAAAGTCTTGAAAGCCTATGCAAAAAGAAAGCCGCTGTGCTAGACATACTGCTAGATAATTATTTACATAGCAGTACATTTCCAGCACAGTGGAGATATGCTACCCTGTTAATAACCCGTAAATAAAAGCAGTACCCGACACCGCAGTGTTATCATGACAGGGAATAGCGGAGAACAGCATTTGTCATAAGCTGCTTTAAATAAGTACCCCCATCCCAACAGAGAAATATGGGTTTCGAATAGAATGCTTCATTGAAACAGTGTGCAGGGTTCTTGCGGCCAAAGTCTAAACAGCACTGGCCGCGCTGCGTAATCCTCTATACATGGTGTTCCTCGACTTCAAGGCGATCTTCGACCCGGCGCTCAAGCACAAGGTATGCTCACGCCAACCGAGGTGGATGTCCCTATTATGACTATGCTCATCCTTGTCGCTGCAACTCTGCAAAAAAGCATAACTATTGACTATGTAATGGCTGAACTCGCGCGAAACAATGTTTGGTTCAAAGGGACGCTCTAAGCCCACTCTTATACTTTATCTTGTTTAAGGGCCTGATAAAAGAGGACCGAAAAAATTTGTCGAAGTCATTTTTTATGAAGACGACGTAGTACTATACGTGGCATACAGATTAGGTTAGGTTAGAAAGCTCTAGTTCGACTCCACAAAGCAGTCACAGATATGAGTTGAATCTAAATTTGACTGTAACTGAAGCAATATCACCTTGTGCTCTTCCAAGTCGCCTTTTGCCTATGTAAATGAGTTTCTGCACTTGAAATGGCTTTTCTTTGAGCAGTAGAAGTTTCACCGCACATTTAATCGAAAGGTGCAGGAAGGCAGAGTTGACCGTATTGGTGATCAAGTCGTTTTATAGCTTGTCCCTCGTAACCGCTGTCGGTTTGTGCGGCCTTAGAATGGCTCCTTGTAACGTACGGGATACACATTATTTGGAACGTTCTTACAGTGAATAACCGCAAACAATTCACTTGTCTTAACGTTTCTTTTTTGAAAGAACTACTGGGAGGACACGATGACTCAAAACCTTATCTTCTAGCCAGTTAATAATTACTAATTCAAGGATCTACATTGTTGTTGTATTTTCAACAACAAGAGCTTCCGAAGTCAATTTTAGAAACTGAAAGAAAAAATTCGCGGAAGTTGATGAGTTTTTTTTGTTTCGCGTGCAATGAAGAATAGTGAGAAGAAAGGGAATGGAAAACAGGCGTTTTGTCTCTCACGCTGGCCTACCATAAACCCTGCAGGACACCAGGTTTTCACGAGTATGACGATACACGTAGGTTCTCCAGATGAGGAGAAAACTGCGATAGATATTAAGCCACTCACTGCATCCTAGTACCATCTTTAGGCATATGGCAGATCCCTTAGTTTTATAAATTTAACAAGACTTTTACAGCTTAAATGACGTAAAGTGACTGAAATTGCTTTGTATACTTTCTCTGACAATGGTATATTGTTTTGTTGATCGATAAGAGATGAATTAACAGCAATGATGAGTAAATGTAACTTGATCAAGATGCATTTGCATGGCAAAATCCCACGGGCGTCCGATCTTGAAATAATCAAGCTATCATATTTTTTTCTTTTTGTTTGTCTTTTTTTGTTTCTTTGTCCGATAGCACTCTTTCGAAGACTCATAAGGATATACTCACAATGATAATGAGCAGGCGTTCCGTCCTACTGAAAATAAGTTCGAAAAAGTGTTTGAAGTTCTTTTTTGGCACGCATCAAAAGGAGACGTTTAATAACATAATGACGATAGTCACCGGCGTTATCGTAAAAACATGGAATCTCTATGGCACTGCGGAAATTTCTATAAAGGTTTTTGCAAGCGTACACAACTGCACAAATAAACACACAAGTTTAGAGCTGGCCTTTAAAACCTATCGTGGTCTTCCTGATAAATTCGCCTATTTGAGTGATTTTTGTTTGTTTTTGTTGTTTGAAATTTGTTAGGACTGTGTATGGAGAGCTGGAGCTGTAGGTATAGGTTATCTTTTGGTGAAACTTTGTCTGGGACTTGGTTTCCTGATTAAACGGTATCCTCTTTTCATAGGGCGGTTTATGTAAAAGGATGTTCCTTTGCACCATCATTCTAAAGCTCGCGATGAACTAACTGCCTGTTCAGCTCAAATAATTGTGATTTCTATAACAAGAAAGGTAAGTCAAAATAGTGGACGTTACTAACAGATTCCACGTTGTAGGGCGCAAGCTGAACTAGGTTTTTTTAAGAAATAATTCGTTGTCCACACCAAATAGTACCTTCTTTTTTACTTCGAAGTGTGCGTACCAATTGAAAGCAACAATGCTGGCAACGGCCAGTAGTATTGTCGTGAAAACCCTCACATTGTAGATATTTATACAAGGGTCCTATACAAATGTATACAGATACACATTCAAATGTTTTGAGTTTTTCGTCCGATACTGGCCTTAAGCATTGCTTCAGACAGCTTGCTATTAGCACGAAATGATGCACTTTCGAACACAGAGCACCATGTGCCCTTAAATTTAATAGGTGAACATGTTATCACTGAACCATCATGGAGATATACCAGAGTTATTAGAGAGCAGCCGGTTAGTTCAATTCTAATAACTGTCTTGAAAGTATATTACGTACTAATTTACAGCTCTAATATTCACACTCATATATAAGACTATATATATATATATATATATATATATATATATATATATATATATATATATATATATATCGTGTCATATAACTCGCACACATGTAACTAGGAAAATTAATTATGATAGACACACCCATAAAGCTAAAAAAGGTGTGCACGATCATTGGATACAACTGTGTAAGAAAATTAACAAGTGATTACGCTGTGCTATTCTTCTATTTGATACAGTTTAATGCGCACCTTACATAACATGGCAGTGCGATGCCTGTATATTCACCTGAATTTTCAGTTACCGTGAGACTCACTTGAGAAATTGCGTGATATCTTGTGTAAGCGATTCGACCTCGCTGTCGACATAAGAAAACACATTCTTCTCAAAACTCGTGCCTGGAGCCATCATAAACAATTACACACATATACGAACAGCACGCGTCCCAGGGAAACACATGGATCTTGACTGCTACGTGTAGTTAGACACTGCTCAAATTCGTTCGAAGAACAACAACATCAAAAAAGGGACAGCAGACAAAACAAAACATTTCAGCCCCGTACACGCTGCTTGGCCAAAATGGCACCACGATTTTTTTCGAATGCCAGTAGACGGCGGCGGCCACGTGCAACTGCATCGAAAATAGAACTGTATCTGTACATTGGAGGTTGTTTAAATGCCGGCTGGCTGCACTGAACCGTCGAGTTGATTTCATCCCTCTCGACGGGTAATTCGCGGCCTTTTGAAAGTTTCGAAATTGTTGTCACCGAAAAAGGCGGTACTGCTGTTTCGAGACATTGCCCGCGTTCACTTTCTGGAAATTCCGGCACAGTCATGAGCGACGACTGGGGTGTGAATTTTGTTACCAATCTTTCATAAAATCTAGTAGCGATATCGGTGCGAAGTGTGGTGTTAATAAAATTTCGTCGATTACTGTAATACGATAGGTGATAAACTCTACAACGGAAACCGGCAAAACATCTAACATATGGCCGAAAATGGCGAACCTACGTGTGAACGTGCACTCACCTTCTGGCCTGCCTTGATGTTGCTGAACATCAACCATGGTTTGCGAAATTTGAAAGTTCTGTCACTCAAACGAGCGACATTTTTCCGAAGCGGAATTTGCTCTGATTTTGGTTTCGCCCATTATAACTAGTTAGATTTTAACACACTGAAATACGAAAAAAACGAAATCAACAGTCAGCGTATTTCCGTGCTGTCTTGTCTGGCTGACGATATGCTGGCCATGTTTGCAAAGGTGGTAACTTCGAGAACTTGCTAGCGTAAGCGAGCGCCTTATTATCTCGCTGAAATAAAACGATGGGTTCCGGGCAGCACATGTCTGATCTGACCTCGCTTTGTCGTCAATGACCTCGTGTACGAACAAGGAATCTGTTGTTCAGGCTGGCGGTTACTGTCGATTCGAACAAAACAAACCGTACGCCATATGCGGTAGGCTTTTTGGCTTAATTTAGAATCATGAAATGTATATATAGTGAAAGCCAACTTGTCCCGCTATCTAGTTAAGTTCCATATGTCTGTTGTTTCAGCAGTGGAACCAAAGACGTGGCCGTAAGTCACTTTACGCCACACGTATAACACTGCCGCGTGTTGAAGTTTCGTTGAATGTCGTGCAACCGAGGTATCGTTCAAGACTGAAGCGTGTAGACGCATTCCCAAGTGTTACTTGTACAAATTGTATGTTTGTGTGACCACCGTCAAATGTATGTTTAGCCTTTTGATAATAAATGTAGATAATAATGAAAACGAAGAGCAATGGAATATTCCTAAATAATTTAACCATATTGGAATGATGTGGACCTGCCATATGGTATGATAAGGTATGCTGGTAAAAATAACATGAATTATCAGTGTACAGTGCCGATAAAAAAAGTCTGGTTCGGAGCTCGAAGGCTCGATCTAATATGGGAAAATAAGAAGCGCTATGTTGGTCCTTCAGTAATGAGTCATCGAGTATCTGATGGAATAGTGAAAGAAGAGATGGCTAATCAAAGAATGGCACCATTTTAAGTCTTGAAACATCATTATGATAATTACTTTGTAACGTAAATTCGACGAACGTGAGGCGCATGTCCTGCCAGCTTTTATCGTCACAAGCGATCTTTTTCAATGGTTGTGATTATTACCTTATTGGGCAATTGCACAGCAACGCCTTCCTGTTCTAGGCACGTTATGGGTCAGATCACCTGTAAAAGCCAGCTCAACCCAAAATTTGCTTTGGTCATTGACCGACCTGTACTCATTGATCGCGAGATATCATGAAAATAATGCAAGTTAGATGTATCCGTTGTGGAGAAACTTCGATGTATCTGTTGGCGAGTTTCACCAATAGTTCTAGATATTGTGATTTTACGTATCGGCGATCATATTGAATAGACCAATAATTGAATGCAGTGGCGAACGCACTGACGGCTTTGTTGACGTCTTTATTTATTTTCTAATTTTCAGACAGTAAAGATTTCAAGCCACCAGTTCTGATGGATCGCTGGGAAGGCGAGGACGAGGATGACGTAAGTAGTCAGGGAATATCAGCGTTCATTCAATAATAGTCATATATTTCGAGCTGGCTGCAATTTCAAATAAATCATTTCTGAAATCACAGCCATTGCAGCGTGGCTCTGTCAGGCGTGTATAAGACTTCGAGTAGAGGGTATAGTGCATGTATTAAAAAATGTGGTTGGCTTTCGGTAAACAAGTCTCCAGATCTCGTCTATCGTTGGTGAATGTAATTCAATCCCTGAAGATGACTATCACAAGAGCTGATTGTTTGGTCTTTCCTCTGGTAAATTTTGCACCTAGTAGTCATGTTTTGCTTATAATGATCCTGATGTTTTATCAATACTGGCAGACACAATGATATCGTAGATTTGTGAAGAACCGCATTTTCGATCTGTAGTAATGTGATACATTTCTTATATCATGTCGAGATCCTATTACGTCTATGGCGGGTATTGTTGCATGCCTGCAAACATAATTGATATTACGGTTTCTCACTCACAATTTTATGTGCAGCTGCCGACAATACCAATAGTGTTAACAGTATCAGTCAATGAAAAGACAATTGCACATTGAAAAAACCAAATGAATATATTGCTACATTTGCAGAATATAGAATTTTTTTCACAATATCTTTTATAATAGATGCCTGTATATGATATTGAACAATGACATTCCAAAGCAAAATGTACCGACTTTTGTACATAAATAGCATTCGTGTACAGACATTTATGAAGAATTACAATAGGGGATAATGTTCTTATTTGAAGTAACAATGCTCAATAAGTTCCACGCGTCTTGCTTTGTACCATTAGTATGAGAGCAATTTCTTACGATCTTTATTCTGAACAATCGGTTACGCTCTACAGGTTAAAGACAACTGGGATGACGAGGACGAGGAGGTGGAAAAGTTGCAGATTGGCGTTCCAGCACCTCAGCCCAGAAAACGAAAGACTTTCCAACAGATTGTAGCCGAGAAGGAGGAGAAACAGCGACGTGAAGCCGAGGAACGGCGTAGAAGAGTTAGTAGCATTTTGTCGAATTTTTGTTTTTCCGTCATTTTATCTTGATTGTTTTGTTCTGGTTGATGTCTATGGAGCCATAACTAGTTGGACCGTACGTCAGAGGACCCTACAGTTAGAAAAATAAAATTAATGGAGCTTTGCCGGCTGTAGATGGTATTGCGAAGTCGTTGATAAAGAGCAAACGATATACGTCAGCACAAAAGCATGAAAACTGCTAAAAATTAGGATTACAATTGTTCAGGGCGAGAATGAGGTATTACGGTACATGCAAGAATATCAAAAAAATCACTAGGCAAAATCTCGGCAAACAGGCTGTGCTGTAATGTAAGAACGGCGAGTGAATTTCATTTTTATTTATATATGTATATACACGGTACTTACATTTGCACAATCTTCGGCAGGTTATTTGTTTATAGTTATGTTTGTTATAAGTTCATCCGCCGTTCTTTGCATTACAGCACATCATGTTTTTTGGGAACAAAGCAGTAAACTTTATGCAGAAAAAGAACGCATCCTTCTCTCAATTTAACTGGAAATGGGCTATTATCCAGTACATTCTCACTAGACAAACTCCTCAGTAAGATTAAAGCCTCCTTTTTTGTTTGAAATATATGGCCTACCATAGTGCCAGTTTTTTAGGAAGGTTTTTATAAGGCAAGCCGAAAGATTCCCTGAAAGACAAAGAATTTGAAAACTAATCAAAATGACTCGGATTTTTTAATAGCGGACAATATTTATATTCAATTGGGTTATCGAGATAAGCTCCAAGGGTTAGTTTTTTGAGACTTTACGTGCCTTTTTGAGTTCGACCGTTCTGAGAATTTTGCATTTTTTTCGCGTTCTTGAGACGTTTGGCCTGGATATTTTTGTATGTAGCGTATGCTTAACCTATGACCTAAAAAAAGTCATAGATTAAACATACGATATCGGTTGATAGAAACTCGTTCGTCTTGAATAAAAATGATCGCCATGATTTTTAGCAACAAGTTCGTTGACGTTTTTATTTAGGTTATATATATATATATATATATATATATATATATATATATATACATATATACATAACGATAATCCACAATTTGAATTTATTATAGAGTTATCATAGTTTTCTTCGTTTAGGTTTCATAGAGAAGGAGCGCAAGTTGCACCTGTAATGTTGTGGGATGCCACCTCTCTTCATTATGTGTAGCGCCTAATGCTTCTGTAGCGTTATACAATGATCTGTGAATGATCTTTTACCAGATTTTCTGATGTAAGATGTTCGCCGCGTCGCTCGTTGACAATCGTTTCATCTTTTCCTTTTCTGTAGAAGGCCGAAGAGGAAAAAAATGCCGGTCCCGAGGAACAAAACGCGGAAAAGCTGCGTCGTCAGAAGCTACAAGAGGAAGCGGACTTACGTGCGGCTATGGAGACGTTCGGTATAAGCACGCAAGGTACGATCGACAGTATCACTCCAGTGGAGCGGGAAGACTATGAAAATTTGCGAAAATTGCTTGTCGCCAAACTGACTCCGAACGAGAAGAGCCCTCTTTACATACCCTTCTTGGACGATCTTTTGAGGGACCTCACTGCTAACCTTGAAGCGGACGACATTAAGAAGCTCAGCTCGAGTCTCAACACTCTGGCAAATGAAAAAATAAAAATGGCTAAGGTAATTATCACATTCCAAAACGAGATCACTATAAGGAAGATAGGCATGGAATTTTTACTTGAGGAAAAAGCTGAAATTTAACAGACGTTATAACCACGTATTGTAGAAAAGCAGTTATACTTTTTGATAAACCAAAAGTGAGCGTATAGTTTTGAAGGAATCTTTGATTGTAATCGTCATATGTATTCCGGTTGATTGATAAACCTAGAGAATGGTTTAATTTAGTTGTATAGGTCGTATATATAAGAAACAGAAAAACGACGTGAATATGAAGAGCTTCAGTGTAAGTAGGACTAAGTTGAATAAAAACAAAAGAACAGACAAGATAAAAATTACGTTTCATGCGCACGCACGCTTCAATTTTTCGATTTTTACGTACACACACTTTGTCTCGAAAATCTGACCGCGTATCTTATCTTAGAAAGTTTGCAAAGTAAGTACTCCAGCGGGTAAGACCCATTAGTAGTTTAAACGGAAAGAAAGCTAATTATCTCTATGTTTACTATGAAATCTCCTATTAAATATTTTTGCTAACTTGGAATTATTTAGGGAACTAAAGGCAAGAAGAAGAAGGGAGCTTCACTGAAGATGGAACGGGGCGAACTTGACGCGTACACGGGTGGTGATGATATATGCGAATATGACGACTTTATGTAGGATTATTAAAAAAAATAGTTTGAGGGAAATCAGTAAGCCATAGCAACGACGAAGACGACCGTAGAGTATGATCTACACCGGAACGTATCAGAACACATCTGGATATAGTTGCCCAGCAGGCATCGGGATAGTATCAGTCACGGAGCCCTGTCGCGATCAACACGACACTTCAATCTTCCTTGTACCCTCCTGTCTTGTTTTTCGACCCCTAAGCGCATACCCCTTCCCCCTCTTTAAACGAAGAGAAAATGAAGATACTAAATAGAGAGCAGTATATATATATATATGCTGCATACACACAAAAATAGGCAATTATTATGCGATGATGTTATTAATGGGTCCGTAGGCAGATAAAGTTTGTGATTGACTAAGGATAACGTAATGACTAAAAATCATAACACATTATTCAGGCTCGACCTGCACGTGCGGGTGGATTAGGCATAGATGTGTCTTTAATACCGTTGCTATCTGCCAGCCAAACATGCCATTCAGGAGGGTTAAATCCTACGTGTGTAGCATGCACTAGTCAGGGATATGATAGATGCAGTTAACTAGCGGCTATCTAATCTTCTGGCTATTACAGAACCTGTAAGGTTCTAGTAATGTCACTCATACCTGTTTGTCCTAGACACATTTTTATTTGTGAAGGATGTACCAGCGCTAAGGAAGAACTTGTGCGCGCAGGTACAGAACTGGTGATACACTGGGAGCATGTGATGTCGATAAGTGCAGAAGAATGAGGTGTCAATAAGGAGGGAGATGGCCGTAGAGCGTACTTTTAAAGAAAAACGAAAGAACCAGGTAATTTCCTTTCAGAAAAATGTAAATGACCGGTAACACTGAGCAATATCTGAATAGTAGTTTCTGCAGTGGTTCCGATGTCGTAAAAAGGGATTTAGAGGTTCCGTGGAAAAAAAACAAAGTAGTAGAAAAACGACGTGGGTGTGAAAGAGGTTAAACGGGGAAGGTGTGTATGTGCATATGATCGTTATGGGGCTGATGACATTTGGGTGTTGAGTGTTCATGTTGTCTCTGGCCCGTTCGAATGTCTTTGTGTGTGCATATGGGCGCCATTAAGTGGCTGGGTGATCAATCCGTGCATCGGCTGATATGATTATAAGATTACGAAATAAAAGATGCATAATCGTGGTAGATGCGAAATATAACGTCGGGTCGGTGCAGACTCGGATGGAATAGGTGGTAAGACCAATGAAACGAAAATGTAAGTCGTGACTCGACTATATCAGATGAACGGTTTTGTCATCGGCGACAGGCGCAGGATATATAGATTGAAGTTTGTTGTACAATTTATTTTGTATGGAAAAATTGTTGTACGCAAGATAAAGTAATACCACTACTATAAAACTGTGAAAGCCAGAAGAACGCGTCAGGTGATGATAAAGAAAAAAAGGCATACATTTGTTAATAAAAAATAAGAACTAATGAACAGTCGTCTTGCTGACAACTGTGGTGCTTCCGGGCCAATAATAAATGATGAGTTGTTCTTTCATAGAATATATGTAAACAATTAGTACTGTTATTGGAATATAATTATAATACGTTAGTAGAACCTAGGTTATTAGGTATTATTATTATACACGGTCTAAGCGTTACTGTTCCTTTATGCAATGGTGTTCATCGAGCTTTGTATTAATCAATGTTTGGATTGCACTACTACCGTGAAAGAGATGGGCACCTTATGTTATGGTAATTATATTACTTATTCTGGCCAGTCTTTTCAAATATTGGCCGGAATAAATAATATAATTAAAACGAATAGGTCTTTGTTGAAATTAGGGCCGTTCTTCATATTAATAATAACCTTCTAGATAAATTTAGTTGTCATAGCTTATTTAAGTTTCTTCCTGGAATACTTGCAGTGGTTAAGTTGGCCTCAGGTTTTTATGTTCACAACTTATTTCAGTGATACGGGAAACAGAATTACTTGATTTGTATAGGTGTTTGGTCAAATTAGAGTATTTTATGCAAGACCTACTGAGCAATTTTACTGCCAAGCATGAATAAAAGGTAATTGTCAAACATGGGTTTTTGGTGAATTTAACCTCCTTATTAACATTAGTTTGAAAGAAGGAAAACCATATCTGCTGCTTGAGCTAATTTAATATGGAGAGGTGATACACTTGCACAGGATAGCTTGTTAAGTTTTCGTTCATATGAATTAGTGTCCTGCTAACGTTTCAAGTTTTTGAAGTCGTCGAAACGAATCATCTTTGGGTTAACAGAAGTTGTCCTCGGTTTTGCTTTTTAAAGACGCAACTATTAGATCAGGCCCTTCACCTACTCTCTGGCTAAGTAAATTTGTATATAGTGAAATGTCTCTCCTAGACCTGATTTAAGTTAGGTAAAAGATATTTTTTTTTCCTACAATGCAGATTATGCAATTTGTTATTCAAATGTTCAATACGTGTGTTTTTAAAGTTTCGACGTCTTTTTCTAACAGAAGTCAAGGATACGACCTAATATTTTCTAGCATAGTTTTATAACACTACTTGCGCCACTTTGTTAATAATTTATGGCATCTGGAAGCCTCTTTTAATCATATTTGAAAATGCGTTCTTGCAGGCTGAACGTTTGCGATCATACGCCATGTCAATGCGTGAGCATTTGTTTAACATAAGGGAGTGTGTTTTAATAATTTTGGAGAAATCTGCAATTCAATCACTCCATTATTGTTACTATCTGCTTCAATGGAGGTAAAGAGGAAAGAAGTCCAAAGGTCAATGTATGATACGAATATATCACGTGGTGGTTGGATCTGAAACGACCCATGTATTATCTGAACAAATAGAACGAAAACACGGGTGCGGTAAACTACCGTTGGTGTTCACCTGTTTTGAAATCATGACGTGCAAATAATACCTAAAGTATACACTATAGCGTTAATCAAGCTAGTATTCTATTGAAACAGTATGCGATGAATTGAAAACTTAAGCATACGATTTATAATAGGATTACTCGAAGGAAAGTTTGCCTATTAATAAATAAAATAGTAAAGTTTGCTTGGTGCCGAGTGCAAAGAAAAGCACAGTTATATGGAAGTATATCCTTAGCATAAATGACGCCCTGCGCTAATAAATGATGGTTTTAGTAATTGTATGGTATTGCGGCTATTAGTGTGCAGACGGAAGCCGTGTTAGAACGAGGCCGTTAGTTACCAGATCCGATCACAAACGATTTTACCAGTTTTTGAAGGATTATTTGGTAATTTCTATTATAGTCATGTCTGACACATAGTACGAACAAGTGACCTGTAGATATCCACAGGCTAACTGAGACCTTTTTGTCAATTAGATCTATATCTACTGAGACATTACTCAGTGATAGTCTGAAATGTGCTAATTAACACAATGATAATGAATTGGTAAGAGGTTAAAGCAATTTGAATCAGACAGCTTGCGCGTTGCTTAATAAATTCAGTATATAATCTATTAATTCGAGGACTGGTTAAGTTGTTCCAACCACTACCCTATCCGCATCAAGGTGAAAAAAATAAGCAACGAGCTGTCATGAACGTGTCCGTTTTTTGCTCTAGGGTTTCATGATCTGTAGTCAGGTTAGCGAATCTACCTGAAAATCAGAATAAAAAAAGGCTTATTCGCAAATTTTTACCAAGATGGAACAGCAAGACTTTCACGACAAGTAGATGCGGTAGTTCAAAGTATTGAATTTGTCGATCTTCCTTTTGCCATGCTTTGGCTAACACAATACAATTTTTTGGTCAGTTTTGTAGTTTCGTGGGGTGACGAAGTGGTTAATACGCGCATATAAGTTTGTTTTGTGTGCGGAGAACTATGAATGTTGAGTTCAACTGCTTGGAGGAGAAGTGCATGTCCGCTTACAGTATAAAACTATCCTTATTAGTACGACCGTGGTACGTCGCCTTGCTATATAGAACTTTACTTAATCATGGAAGTATGGAACCATCCTCTTTAGCTTACGTTAAGCTTTTGGTTGCGGATAATATAGTCGTCGTAAATAGTATCGCTACCCTTTTACTGGGAAAACTTCAAAGGCCATCAAGCACGGCTATTTACGGACACGTTAAAATTGTCGAACACTATAGATGGGGAAAAAAACAGAACTGAATGTACTACACTATATTGTATTTGAGCTTAGAAAAGCGAGACATTTTTCAATCTACATTAAGAGATAGACACATTTTCTGAGTTGACCTATCGTTGATGCCTATTGGAGACTAACGTAGCCTAGAAAAGCGTGCCCAGTTTTAATATTAGCTAATCAACTGCGGGAAGGCCACATATTTCATGTCATGAGGACTAGTTTTTTAAAGCAATGCCTTACGCCAGTATCGGACATCAAACTCGAAACATTTGTTTGATTGATATTGAACCATAGATTTATAAGTATTCTAATTCATGTAACAGTCTTGCAATGATTTAGTAATGATAATTGCTGTGGCAAATTGCTATCTGTCTGGAAATAATAAACGTACTTAGTGTTTATGCAAACAACCTATTTATTTTTCATAATGTGTGTTCCAGGTTGATCTGGTTTGCCAAGATATGGCCCGCAATCGCCGGGACGGAAAAGACCAGGCTGAACATGTTACGACGAAGGTATGAATGATTTCTACTATAGGAATAATAAGTAAGTCCTTTTGGCTGTAAATTTAACAAGTGTAATGCCGTTGTCATGTGAGCTTAAGAAACGATATATAACACATCACAAGAGGTCTACCTTGCCAATTGTTAACGTATGCAACTTCAACAGCTTTAGTTTGCCAAATCATATCCGTATAGGATGTGCACGCCCAAAAAGAGCTGTAATAAACAGTTAGCGTACACCTTTTCCCTAAAGTCTCAAGAAAGATCTGCTAATAGGACATTTTTATATACTAAGTTGTGTATGATTCCAATCGATATATTCTCGGTGGCTATTGGAAGCCACGAACAACTTATTCACCTGTTGAATTACAGATTTTTTTCTGTTGCTTTCACTATGACTACCATAAAACCTGTTCGACGTTTGTAGCTTAAAAAACAAGAGGAAGACCCCAAGTCCTCTAAGGGGCCTGCAGTGGAATTTGAAGTGACCAAAGAACTTGTGCCGCTGAACTCACATAGCTTTAGCAGCAGCGGTTTTTGTATGCTCTAAATTTTTAGTTACCTTCGTATTTCCGATTTTACACCTAAAATTTTACATTTACAATGCAACAAGTATCCAACCACCTATTTGTGAGGAATCTTCGACAGCCTCATGCTCATACCCCGCAAAAGTCTCACTAACATGTCAAACAATCGGCGTTTTTTTGACTCTTCACCACCACGTAAATCCGAACACATGTTTACTCAGCATCCCTGCTTCCTTGTAGCCTTTGCCAACACTCCAGTACTTGTAACGTCAAGTCTAACGGATCAAATTTTAAGAAATGGTGGAACAACGCTTGAAAATAGTTTTCGTATGTCTTCAGTCACACCTCTTTTGTATAGTTAGACATTGTTCTCATATACTGTAAATCCAGCTTGTATCACAGGTTTATAAATAAAGTTCTAATCGTGTTCAATTAGCGCATCTAGCGACGGAGCGCTCATACCAAAATGGATTACGCAGCGCTTAGCGCAGTATACGCGACAGATTTGATCGATGCCATTGTTCTCAAGGATGCGGAAGATCACCAAATCTTTGGAAGCTGTTGATTGACAAATTGGGAGCTACTGAGCGCAGCCCTCGATACGTAGCCTTTGTTGAAGGCGTGTTCCAAGATCTCGTACAGAATCTTCATCTGGGCAGTGTTAAAGCACTTTGACTCGTATCTCAATAACCTGGTTCGCAGGAAGGTCAGCATCGAACTTGGGTTTTTCAGATCATCTAAATAGACCATTAGAGAGTGAGAGCCCTCTACTACTTAATTTTAACAGAGCTTATAGGTATGCAGTCGACTTTGACCTAGCAAAGCTGTGATATATTGTACTACAAATACAACACAATAATCTACTAATAAAAATGAATCTGATTTGTTGATCTTTTTCTGCATTTTTGTCCCTTGTCCTCATATAGACTTTTTTTTACTTTGTGTTGCTTCTCCACCGCCTTTTTGTCTTGCATATTTTTTATACGGCATCTTTTGTTCGGCGCCTTGAAATAAAGCAGTAGAGCTACCGCTGCTTTTAGTGCAGCATGTAGGTTCATTTGTTACCTATTGCACTGTTTTAAGTCTTGTTGTAGTTTTTCTATCATTCCATTTATTATTTCTAGGATGTTTATTTCTATTAATCCACCTATTCTTCCATTCTCAGATTGATCGCTATCCCTATATCTAATTTCCTCAAGAGTTAACTTGCGC